TTTTCTTTCTGTTCCAACTCCTCCTTTCGCTTTCAGTCTGGGAGCTCAGGCAGAATGGTGGAGGAGGGTGGGGACCTGGCATTTGCTGAGTTAGGAGCTGTGGCCAAGGCCAGCCGTGCCAAGGGATAAAGGAGGAAATGGGGCCGGGCGCGGTGACTCCCAGCACTTTGGGAGGCCGAGGTGGGTGGATCACCTGAGGTCAGAAGTTTGAGACCAGACTGACCAACATGGAAAAACCCTGTCTCTACTAAAACTACAAAATTAGACCAGGCACAGCAGCTCACGCCTGGAATCCCAGCACTTTGGGAGGCCGAGGCGGGGGAATCACGAGGTCAAGAGTTCAAGACCAGCCTGGCCAACATAGTAAAACCCCATCTATACTAAAAATACAAAAATTTACCAGGCATGGTGGCACATGCCTGTAGTCCCAGCGACTTGGGGGGCTGAGGCAGGAGAATTGCTTGAACCCAGGAAATGAAAGGTGCAGTGAGCCAAGATCGCGCTGCTGCACTCCAGCCTGGGTAACAGAGTGAGACTCTGTCTCAAAAAAAGAAAAAAATTAGCTGGCTTGGTGGCACATGCCTGTAATCCCAGCTACTTGGGAGGCTGAGGCAGTAGAATTGCTTGAACCCAGGAGGTGGAGGTTGTGGTGAGCTGAGATCACTCCACTGCACTCCAACTTGGGAAACAGAGTAAGACTTCGTCTCAAAAAACAAGAACAAAATTAGCCAGACATGGTGGCAGGCACCTGTATTCCCAGCTATTCAGGAGGCAGAGGCGGGAGAATTGCAATTGCTTGAACTGGGAGGCCAAGATCGTGGTGAGCTGAGATCGTGCCATTGCACTCCAGCCTGGGCAACAAGAGCAAAATTTCATCTCAAAAAAGAAAAAAAAAGGGGAGGAAACGGGAGTGGAACAGAGGAAGTGAGATCAGCGCCAGGGCGGCCTCTTGTTCTGGTGATTTTTACGTCATCCAGCTCTGGGCATAAGGCCTTGTTTCCAGAAAAGCCCTGTCAAAAATGCACATCTATTACTTGGGAGGGTGACACATTAATCCAGTAACTCCAATTCTCGTGTCAGATGTGCTAGCTGTTGCCTACAAGCAGCGAGCAAAGAGAAGGGCCCAGGAAACAGCTGCATTTTGAGGGAGAGTGTGGGAAGGGGTGGGGGCATGGAGTACCTGCTTGGGGAGGTGCCAGAGAGCTCTGAGCAGCTAGAGGATAGTGGCGAGGTGACAAACACCTAGGGATTTGGTCCAAAGGACAGGCTTCCTGCCTAGAAAGGCTTTTCTCATGGCATAATAAGGCTCTGAGAGGGAGTAGTGTCTCGTGGTGAAATCGTTTCCTTGGTGTGATGTTGGCACCATAGCACCTGACCATGGCACTGGGTCTCCAAGGTGGGTGGGTCCCTTGGACAACTTCCTGGTGAGACAGCCATTGGCCTCCAGCATCAGATAAAGATTAAATTCAGCCATATGTAACAGAAAAGGCAAATCAGTTGCTTAAACCAGAGAAAGTTTGATTTTTCTTTCACGTAAAAGAATTCTGGAGGCAGACAAAAGTAAGAATTATACCGGGGGTGTGGTAGCTTACATCTGTAATCCTGGTACTTTGGGAGGCCAAGTAGAGAGGATCACTTGAGCCCAGGAGTTTGCTAACAGCTGGGGCAAAAAAGTGATACCCCATCTCTGCAAAAGGTAAAACTAAAAAATTAGCCGGGGCATGGTGACATGCGTTTGTAATCCCAGCTACTCCAGAAGCTAAGGTGGGAGGAACTCTTGAGCCCGGTAGGTCAAGGACCCAGTGAGTCGTGACGGTGCCATAGCACTCCAGCCTGGGCAACAGAGTGAGACCTTATCTCAAAAAACAAAACAAGGCCAGGCATGGTGTCTCACGCCTGTAATCCCAGCACTTTGGGAGGCCAAGGCGGGTGGATCACGAGGTCAGGAGTTCAAGACCAGCCTGGCCAAGATAGTGAAATGCCATCTTTACTAAAAATACAAACATTAGTTGGGCATGGTGGCAGCCACCTGTAATCCCAACTACTTGGGAGGTTGAGGCAGGAGAATTGCTTGAACCCGGGAGGCAGAGGTTGTAGTGAGCCGAGATCAGGCCACAGCACTCCAGCCTGGGCAACAGAGTGAGACTCCGTCTCAAAACAAGCAAACAAACAACAACAACAAAAAACAAAAACCAAGACTTACAGGAGCAGAGACCCTCAGGGACCATTCCCTTTTTTGATTCCACTTCCAGGCGTTTTTGCAGGCAGGTGGCTAGTTCCAGTTGGAGCTTGATAAATGCACCTTCCCTGGGCTTCCTTTCCTCCTGTTCTCACTTCTCCAGCTACTTGGGAGGCTAAGGCAGGAGAATCCCTTGAACCCAGGAGGTGGAGGTTGTGGTGAGCCAAGATCACCTTATATTATTGAGCACTTAATATATGCCAGGCACCTCACGGGCAGGGAGTGTCTCAGTTTTTCCTCAAACCTGTGTAGTGGGATGCCACAAAGTCCCATTTTAGGGATAAGGCTAAAAAGTTACCCATTGCTGGAGCCAGGACTCAAACCAGGCTGATTATTTTGTTTGTTTTGTATGTTTGTTTGTTGAGGTTGGTCTCACTCTGTCGCCCAGGCTGGAGCTCAGTGGCATGATCTCAGCTCACTGCAACGTCTGCCACCCAGGTTCAAGTGATTATCGTGCCTCAGCCTCCTAAGTAACCACCACACCTGGGCAATTTTTGTATTTTTAGTAGAGACGGGGTTCGCCATGTTGATCAGACCGGTCTCGAACTCCTGACCTCAGGTGATCTACCCCCTTTGGTCTCCCAAAGTGCTGGGATGACAGGTGTGAGCTACCACACCCAGCAGGCTGATCATTTTGTAATATCTCACAGCAGATTCCTAGACTTGGATTCCTGGGTCATAGCATGTGCATTTCCAGGCTTTTGACCTGTTCTGCCAAACTGCCCTGGAGTTAAGTCAAACCCACTTGTCCCTCTGCCCCCACTAGCAGTATGGGGGCCCCTCACTTCTCATGTCCTTACAGCCAAGGGCTCTCAGCTCTTTCCAACTCAGGCTCTGTGAAGACATTCCTTTAGAATACATCTCTTAAAAAATGCAAAGCGGGCCGGGTAATCCAAGCACTTTGAAGGCCAAGGCAGGCGGATCACCTGAGGTTGGGAGTTCAAGACCAGACTAACATGGTGAAACCCCGTCTTAAAAAAAAAAAAGAAAAGAAAATGCAAAGCGTTAATATTAACTAGCCTGTTAGCTGTATACCAGCAGATGTGCAATGTGTATGCACATTGAACTGAAAGGGCATGAAACCAAGTGGACAAGCTCTTGACCTGAGCAAAACAGTTGTCTCTTCGCGCCCTCCTGTCTTGGCTGGGGGTGCAGCTTCTGCACATCTCCCCTCCCTGGAGCCAGGTGGGCGGAGGGGCATGGGTGGGCAGAGGAAAAGGGAGATGAAGGGTCATGGAGGAAGGGTGCAGGGATGGGAACTGTGTGGTGCCAGCCCGTGGAGGGAATCTTTGATTGAACAGCTTTGGTCCCTTCCACTACTTCTCTTTCCTGGCAGAAATACTGGTGGGGTGGGGGTGGGCTGGGAGTGAGACAGCGCCTCCATCTCTTCCCCTTAGATGTCTGAAGAGCCAACTGGCCACTCCCGCATTCCAGGCATGTCAAGTTGGCATTCCAAATGCTAGGGGTGGCAGGGAGGCATGTGAGCAGCTGGAGGGGGCATTGGAGCTCCCCTCACAAGCATGTGCAACTGCCACTTCAGTGTCCCTAGAGAGAAGTAACCCTATGCGATGGCTGCCAGATGGGTTGTTCCCGCCTTTCCCCTGTCTCATGAAATCCCCTCACTGGGCTTTCCAAACACTTTCACATCTGGGAATGGCTTTGCTCTTTTCACAGCCTGTGAGGAGGGCTGAGCCACAGGATATTATTACCCCATATTACAGATGAGGAAGCTGAGGCTCTGATTAAAACGATAGTTCAAAGTCACATGGTACAGCTCAAGACTTTTTTTTTTTTTTTTTTTTGAGATGGAGACTCACTCTGTTGCCCAGGCTGGAGTGCAGTGGTGTGATCTTGGCTCACTGCAACCTCTGCCTCCCGGGTTCAAGCAATTCTCCTGCCTCAACCTCCCGACTAGCTGGGACTACAGGTGTGTGCCACCATACCCAGCTAATTTGTTTTTTTAGTAGAGACAGGGTTTCACCATGTTGATCAGGCTGGTCTCGAACTCCTGACCTCAGGTGATCTGCCTGCCTTGGCCTCCCGAAGTGCTGGGATTACAGGCATGAGCCACCACGCCCAGCCTTTCTTTCTTTTTTTTTTTTTGAGACAGAGTCTCACTCTGTCACCCAGGGTGAAGTGCAGTGGCTCAATCTCTGTTCACTGCAACCTCCCAGGTTCAACCTCCTGCATGAGATTACCGAGTAGCTGGGATTACAGGTGCCCACCACCACGATCAGCTAATTTTTGTATTTTTAGTAGAGACAGGTTTCACCATGTTGGCCAGGCTGGTCTTGAACTTCTGACCTCAGGGGATCCAACTACCTTGGCCTCCCAAAGTGCTGGGATTACAGGCGTGAGCCACCATACCCAGCCAAATGTCAGTCTTGACTATACAGTCGAATCACCTGGGGAGCTTTAGTGACATAGTGATGAGTGTTGTCCAGGACCAGAATCTCTGGGGGGAGGTCCAGGGAGCAGTATTTTCAGAAGCTCCCCAGATGAATGCAATGTGCACTGCGCTGACATGCAGTGAGGACAGTAAGCACTGAAGGCTCCTTGTTGTACCAGACTGTTCTGGAGTAGCAGAACGGGGCAGCCTGACTATTATTATTCCTCCTCCTCCTCCTCCTTCTCTTCCCCTTCCTCCTTCCTCCTCCTCCTCCTTCCCCTTCCTTTTTCTTGTTGTTCCTCCTCCTCCTCCTCCTCCTCCTTTTCTTCCCCTTCCTCCTTCCTCCTCCTCCTCCTTCCCCTTCCTTTTTCTTGTTGTTCCTCCTCCTCCTCCTCCTCTTCTTCCTCTTCTTTTTGAGACAGAGTCTCGCTGTTTCCCAGGCTGGAGTGCAGTGGTGTGATCATGGCTCACTGCAGCCTCGACCTCCTGGGGCTCAAGTGATCCTCCTGTTTCAGTCTCAGCCGCTTGAGAAGCTGGCGTCTGCCACCATGCCTGGCTAACTTTTTAATTCCACAGACATGGGGGATCTCGCTTTGTTGCCCAGGCTGGTCTTGAACTCCTGGGCTCAAGTAGTCCTCCCACCTCAGCCTCCCAAAGTGATAGGATTACAGGCATGAGCCACTGCACTTGGCCTCTGCCCCTACTTCTTGAGAGGCCTCCGTGAGGGCCCAGGAAGCCTGCAGCCCTGATGAGGCCCGGAGACCATGGCCGTTTGTTTTGGCATTTGCCCAGCAGGCTGTTCTGTGTGGAGCTGTGGCTCTTTTGTTTGTGTGGTTTAACTGTTGGCCCAGTTTTTCCAGAGCTGATTAGATATCCCTGTGAGCAGTTCATCCATCTCTAGTCCGCAGGATTCCTGAACAAGGGGCTGAAGCCATTGTTTCTCTTAGCCATGAGGCAAGTCAGGGGTACGGGGGGCCTGACTCCTGCCTCTGTAACACTGAGCCTTGAGTTTGACGGTTCAGTGATTCAGTGAGTCTGTCAGTCAGGGTCCAGTAAGAGACAGAAGCTGGCTGGGCGCGGTGGCTCACACCTGTAATCCCAGCACTTTGGGAGGCCGAGGTAGGTGAATTATGAGGTCAAGAGGTTGAGACCGTCCTGGCCGGTAACCTGATGAAACCCTGTTTTTACTGAAATACAAAAAATTAGCCAGGCATGGTGGTGAGCGCCTGTAGTTCCAGCTACTTGGGAGGCTGAGGCAGGGGAATCGCTTGAACCCAGGAGGCGGAGATTGTAGTGAACTGAGATCGTGCCACTGCACTCCAGCCTAGTGGCAAGAGCAAGACTGAATCTCAAAAAAAAAAAAAAAAAAAGAGACAGAAACCACACCACACCAATTTTTTGTTTGTTTGCTTGCTTTTGAGACCAGGTCTTGCTCTGTTGCCCAGGCTGGAGTGTAGTGGCACGATCTGAACTCACTGCGGCCTCAACCTCCTGGGCTCAAGCCATCTTCCCACCTCAGCCTCCTAAGTAGCTGGGACCACAGGCATGCGCCACCAGGCCTGGATAATTTTTGTATTTTTTGTAGAGACGGGGTTTTGCTGTGTTGCCCAGGCTGGTCTGGAACTCCTGGGCTCAAGCGATCCGCCTGCCTTGGCATTTCAAAGTGCTGGGATTATAGGCCTGAGCCACCGTTCCCTGGCCCACACCAGTTATTTCAACAGTGAGAATCTAACATGCAGAATTGTTGATTAGGTACTGAAGAACTGAAAAACGCAAAGAGAGAACGCTGAAGCATTCTGGAAGTCACAGCTGCAGGAATCAGCCAGGGCTTCCCTAGGACTGGAGGAACAAAGGGAAACAGTGAGAACTGTTGAAACTCAGCAGCTTGGTGGAGCGCCCATGGTGCTGACCTTTGCGGAGGGTTTGCCGGCCGGTGGTGCTGGTGTCTCTGAGGGGAAGCCCTGAGGCTGGTTCTGTGGATACTGGAAAAAACACAAATCGGAATCAACTGCAGCTCCTTGAGTGAACTGCTGTGTCAGATGGAAAAAATGTTTCCAGGGTTGGGGCATGTTGGGGCAGTTGGGGTGCCGATTGTCTAATTTCTCCCTGCCTTTGGGGACTATTCCTCTTCATCGGCAGGCCCACACTACCCTCTCAGTATTCTTTCAAGGGCCAACCCCAAACTTTGCTGGTTCAATCAATAATGTGCTTTACTGAGCACCTATCAGGCTGCACCCGCCCCGGGGTCTGGGGCCAGAGATATAGACGCAGTAACAGCACCCACATTTGTTGGAAAACGTAGTGCCTGACACTGCTATAAGCATGTCATGTGCATTAATACACTGACTATTACCCTCATTTTACAAATGGGGAACCTGAGGCACAGAGACATTTAGCAGCTTGCCCAAGGTTATTTTTAGCTAGTAATTGGCAGAGCCTGAATATGAACCCAAGCAGAGTGGCTCCACGACCCACATTCTTCGCTAAATCCCCTGATTGCCCCATGTCCGGGAAAGGCAGAACTGTACACATTTGACCACAGCACAGGACAGAGAATCCCATTGAGAATGGATGGGAAGGGCTCACAGAAGTGGTAGCTCATTTCATGCATTCATTCAATAAGTCTTTTTTTTTTTTTTTTTGAGACGGAATCTCCCTGTGTTGCCCAGGCTGCAGTGCAGTGCCGCGATCACAGCTCACTGCAACCTCTGCCTCCCAGGTTCAAGCAACTCTCCTGCCTCAGCCTCTGCAGTAGCTGGGATTACAGGCAGGCACCACCATGCCCAGCGAATTTTTGTATTTTTAATAGAGACAGGGTTTTCTATGTTAGCCAGGTTGATCTTGAACTCCTGACCTTAGGTGGTCTGCCCACCTCAGCCTCCCAGAGTGCTGGGATTACAGGGGTGAGCCACCACACCAGGCCTCATTCAGTAAGTCTTTAGACTGGGGTGTGATGGTAAACTAAAGCAGACGTTCTGCCTGCTCTCAGGAAGCTTCTAGCAGAGAGACAGATATTCAAGTTTTCATACTCAAAAAAAGCAAGCTCCAACCAACAGATTCCTGCTGTGAAAATTATAATCACGGGGTTTGTCGTAAAATAGAAGTGAAAGAGCCTGCTTCCTAGAGGAAGTAATGATTGCACTGGGACAGAAAAGATGAGCGGGAGTTAATTCAATGGAGAGAAGAAGGAAAAGAGGTCTGGTCAGAGGGCACAGCATGTGCAAAGGCCCTGGGGTGAGGGCTGGGGTCATGGTGAGTGTGAGGACCTCAAGTCCTGCTCCTGAACTCCCGCCAGCCCTCACTGGCATGCAGCCCACCAGGCATGCAGCCCACCCGGCATCAAGACTCCCACCACTCCAGTTTAGAGCTCTCTAGCCAGCCCTTTCTGTATCATGCTAGAGGCAGCCATCACCTTCTAGTTGGATCCCAGCCTCCCACAGCTCCAAGGAATAGGCAGCGTTCAGGGGACTCTTGAGGGAAGCCTGAAAAAGCCCCAAAGCTAGAATCTGCTCCAGAGACCAGTAGGGACAGTCCTGTGTGATAGGGAGCAGGGTAAGTTCCCAGTGAGTCTTTGGAGAGTAACTGAGTGCACTAGGTAAATGAACCCTCAAGGGAGATGGGGGCTCAAGTGGTCACCCACCCCACCATGAGAGCTCTGATTAGGAGACTTGGAGCACTGAACGAACACCGATTGACTCCTACTTCTTGACTGCATGGGAGGGCAATGATGAACCCATTTCCCAGGGCAGGGCAAGGGCAAGGTCAGGCTGGAGAGGGACATTGCTGTTTGGGGCAGCTTCTCAGCCTGACCCTTTCAAGAGGCAGCCAGGTCTTTGGAGAATGAGGTTCTGAGGGGTCACACAGTGGTTTTGCATGGGATCCAGAGAGGCTTTGGGATCAGCAGACAAGATCCTAGACTCCTAATGGCTCAAAGAGTGGAGAGGCAGGGAGCAGAAGGAAGAAAGGGAACACATCTTCATTGGTCCCCCCATGCCTCCTCTCCACCCTGTTTACAGAAAACAAAGTGCCTTTGGTTGACTCTGGACTAATTCCTCTGAAGCAAATAGAGCAACCACTGCCAATGCTCCGGGAAGAACAGCTTCCCCTCCCCCGTTGCACCTCCTCCCTCCAGGCAGCAGCTGAAGGCCCAACTGGGGGCCCCATGCTTGTGTCTGTTGGGATCTGCATGCCTGGCCTGTCCCCAAGCTCCCTCCCCCACCCCAGCTAGCACTGAAAGGGTGCCCCATAGCCATTCAAGTTTCCATGGGCTCAGTCTAATCAAGCATTGAGGACTGTGTCATCCTCATTACCCTCCCTGGGAACATCTGATTAGGAGGAACATCAGTGAATGAGCCCCTCTGATTCCCAATGGGCAATGAGCCCCTCCCTGTCTGACCCCCCATGCCTGAGGTAGGCCTTTCAGCAGAACCACCCAACCAGAGGCTTTAAACAAAGATGATTTGGATTCCCTGAGCCTCCTTTCTGGGGCAAGGGTGAGGGTGTGTGCACAAATCCCTGTTGTGCCCGGTTGGGTTGGGGGGCCTGCAGGATGCCAGCACCCATCTGCCATGCTGATTAGGTCCTGGGGCTATTGGACAGGAGAACCACTAAGGGGTGGGAGGACATGAGCCAGGGGCCAGGGGCTCAGGCAGGGACTCAGCGCCTGGCAAAGGAGGTGACCCCACTGATTTGCTGGGGGCCCCTTACCCCCTCAGCACCACTCACCACCATCTCTTCTACCAGCCTCAAGTACTGCTTGGGTGGTGGGGGGCTGGGGGCATTTTTCACCCCAAGTGGGAAGATCTAGGGTGTGTTGACGCCAGCTCACATAGGCTTGCAAGAGCAGATTGTTAAATACTCAGGAATTTAGTGAGCTGGTTGTTATAAACACAGCCATCATTAAAATTAAATTAAATTATATGGACTGTATTTCTTAACTGTTTGCTCATCATTGTTTCCTAAGAAGCCTTTCAAGACATTTTTCTCCTCCAATCTCCTACCATCACTCTCCCATAAAATGTTAATATCACAGATACTATATATCTGCTTTTGTAATGGGTGTATAATCCTTTATACATAAAAGGATTAGGTTTTTTGCTTTTTTTTAGACAGAGTCTCACTCTGTTTCCCAGGCTGTAGTGCAGTGTTGCCATCATGGCTCACTGCAACTTCCACCTCCCAGGTTCAGGTTATCCTCCCACCTTGACCTCCCGAGTAGCTGAGACTACAGGTACGTACCACCATCCCTGGCTAATTTTTGTATTTTTTTTTTTTGGTAGAGAGAGGGACTCATCATGTTGCCCAGGCTGGTCTGAAACTCCTGGGCTCAAATGATTTGCCCTCCTCAGACTCCCAAAGTGTTGGGATTATAGATGTGAGCCACCGCACCCAGCAAGACTTTTTGTTTTGTTCCCCACCAAGAATCAATTTTTTTTTTTTTTTTTGAGATAGGTTTCTATCTTTGTTGCCCAGGCGACCTCAGCTCACTGCAACCTCTGCCCCCGGGTTCAAGTGATTCTCCTGCCCTAGCCTTCCAAGTAGTTGGGACTGCAGGTGTCCGCCACCACACTCGGCTAATTTTTGTATTTTTAGTAGAGATGGGGTTTCACCATGTTGGCCAGGCTGGTCTCGAACTCCTGGCCTCAGGTGATCTGCCCACTTTGGCCTCCCAGAGTGCTGGGATTACAGGCGTGAGCCACTGCACCCAGACAAGAATCAGTTTTTACCCCGTTAAGAATGGATGCTATATACTCAGAATTAAATAAATTACATGAAAAACAAAGGTAACATATACTCACAGCACAGCCCTTCCTAGTGGTTTTGCTGCACTTGACTATTATTGATTCTTTTGACGTCATGAATATATCCTTTTTCCCCTGGAGAGCTGTTTGCTCAACATTTACCAGCACACCACTGAGCGGGTCTTTTAGTGAAATAACAGACAGCATGAGAGGTGACTGATTTAAGTCAAAGAAAGATGCGTTTGTCTAGCAAAAACCTCACTCAAAGAAACATGGGAGGACCTGGAGAATTCCAGTGGATGCAGGGAAGAAAGGAAGAGGAGCCAGAAGAGAGAAAAGACCCTCTGATGCTGACTCCATATTGACGGAAGGGTGTCTCTTTGTGGAAAGTTAAAAAGTGGGAAAAATATGCCGTGCCCTTATGCGCTAGGGGTGTTTGTAACTAGCAATTGCTTGTTTCTTCCTCAGGTACACACCTTATACACCTTTAAAGGTTGGGGCATAAGACTGAGACCGCTATCCCATTTCCTCCCTTGGTCTCGTGTCTAGGGGGTCCTATGGTACCTTGAGATCTTCATTCTGAATGGCACGCTAGGCTGGCTGGGGAACACGGAGGAATGAATAGCACTGCCTGGCCTTGAGGAGAGGGAGAAGACAAGCCTCCACGAGATAAACGCGCAAGCTGCATGACTTCCTCCTCTCCAGGCCTCAGACCCCCTGCCTGGCACTCAAATGACACAGGAGGAGTTCTCAATGGACCCTTTCAGCTCTCACCGTCCCAGTCTGGAAAGTTCTCACCATCCCAGCCTGGAAAGCTCTCACTGTCTTCAGCCAAGAAAATTCTCACCATCCCAGTCTGGAAAGTTCTAATCATCCCAGTCTGGAAAGTTCTCACCCTCCCAGTCTGGAAAGTTCTCACTGTCTCAGCCTGGAAAGCTCTCCTCTTCCTTCCATCTGGACAAAGCTAGGAGGCCTGTCCTAGGTACCTCCTCCTGCCATTCCTCTGGCCTCACTCATCTCCTATCTGTACAGCAGGATGGCCTTTTGTTTTTATTTTCTTTGAAAAAAATTTTTTTTTTAGACGGAGTTTCGCTCTTGTTACCCAGGCTGGAGTGCAATGGCGCGATCTCAGCTCACCGCAACCTCTGCCTCCTGGGTTCAGGCAATTCTCCTGCCTCAGCCTCCTGAGTAGCTGGGATTACAGGTGTGCGCCACCACACCCAGCTAATTTTTTGTAATTTTAGTAGAGACAGGGTTTCATCATGTTGACCAGGATGGTCTCGATCTCTTGACCTCGTGATCCACCTGCCTCGGCCTCCCAAAGTGCTGGGATTATAGGCGTGAGCCACCGTACCCAGCTTGAATTTTTTTTTTTATTTGGGGAAAGCACAGGGGTCAACACATCCAGAGTTCAATGGATAAGTCTTGCCCTGGGAAAACCACCTTCATGATCATAGTATCTTCCCTGCCAGGTAAGTATAGGATGGCCTTTTAAAATTCAGCCTACCTGCTTTCACCACAGCAAGGCGACACATGAGGGGCAGAGCGTGAACCCAAATGATGCTGTGATATTCCTTCCCAGCTGGCAGACCATGGGCTATTAGCAGCTGAGCCCGACACCAGCCTCCTCATTTTACTTTTTTTTTGAGACAGAGCTTTGCTCTGTCACCCAGGCTGGAGTGCAGTGGTGCACTCTCAGCTCACTGCAATCTCCGCTTCCCAGGTTCCAGCGATTCTCTTGCCTCAGCCTCCTGAGTAGCTGAGACTATAGGCACGCACCACCATGCCCGACTAATTTTTGTATTTTTAGACCAGGCTGGTCTCGAACTCCTGACCTCAGATGATCCACCTGTCTCAGCCTCCCAAAGTGCTAGGATTACAGGCGTGAGCCACTGTGCCTGGCCTCCTCATTTTATTTATTTATTTATTTTGTGAAGGAGTTGCTCTTGTTGCCCAGGCTGGAGTGCAGTGGTGTGATCTCAGCTCACTGCAACTTCCGCCTCCCAGTTAAACTGAGTCTTGTTGTCTCAGCCTCCCGAGTAGCTGGGACTACATTGGTGCTCTATCGCGCCCAACCAATTGGTTTTTTTTTTTTTGTATTTTTAGTACAGATGGAGTTTCACCGTGTTGGCCAGGCTGGTCTCAAACTCCTGGACTCAGGTGACCCACCCACCTCAGCCTCCCAAAGTGCTGGGGTTATAGATGTCAGTCACTGTGCCTGGCCTTATTATTATTATTTTTTCTTTATCTTCCAGCACCATTATCTTAGACTCATCTCTTTTTATTAAATTGCATTTTAGGTTTTGGGGTACATGTGAAGAATATGTGAGATTGTTGCATAGGTACACACATGGCAGTGTGGTTTGCTACCTTCCTCCCCATCACCTATATCTGGCATTTATCCCATGTTATCCCTCCCCAACTCCCCATATCCCGCTGTCCCTCCCCTATTTCCCCCACTATAGACCCCAGTGTGTGACGCTCTTCATCTTTAAAATAGGAATAAGGCTGGGTGTAGTGGCTGACACTTATAATCCTAGTAGTTTGGGAGGCTGAGGAGGGAGATTTCCTGGGGTCAGGAGTTCAAGACCAGCATGGCCAACATGGTGAAACCCTGTCTCTATTAAAAATACAAAATTTAGCCGGGTGTGGTGGTGGGCACCTGTAATCCCAGCCACTCGGGAGGCTGAGGCAGAATTGCTTGAACCTGGGAGGCAGAGGTTGCAGTGAGCCGAGATCATGCCATTGCACTCCAGCCTAAGTAACAGAGTGAAACCCCATCTCAAAAAAACACAAAAAAATAGGAATAAGAAGCCGAGTATGGTGGCTCATGCCTGTAATCCCAGCACTTTGGGAGGCCGAGGCGGGCGGATCACTTGAGGTCATGAGTTCGAGACCAGCCTAACCAACATGGAGAAACCCAGCCTCTACTAAAAATACAAAATTAGCTGGGCATGGTGGCACATGCCTGTAATCCCAGCTACTTGGGAGGCTGAGGCAAGAGAATTGCTTGAACCTGAGAGGCAGAGGTTGTGGTGGCCCAAGATTGCACCACTGCACTCCAGTCTGGGCAACAAGAGGGAAACTCCATCTCCAACAAACAAACAAACAAACAAACAAACAAAAACCAAAAAAACCCTCTGTCTAAAAATAACAAAAACAAAAACCCAAAACCCTCTGTCTGAAAAAATAAAGCACTCTGCCTCAAAAAAAAGAAAAAAAAGGAATAAGGCCCACAGCACCCAGGCTAGGGTGAAAACACATGAGCTAATGTGCTGCTCACCTAGTAGGACACTAAATTGTGTCCTTCAAATTCACATGTTCAAGTCTTAACCCCCAGTACCTTTAAATGTGACTATTTGGAGGTAGTGCCTTTAAAGAGGCCAGGAAGTAGAGTGAGGCCGTCAGAGTGGGTCCTAATCCAACATGACTGGTGTCCTTATGAGAAAGGGAAATGTGGCCAAGCAGGGGACCCCAGGGGTGCACATGCACAGAGGGATGACCGTGTGAGGAGGTGGTAGGAGGACAGTCGTCTGCAAGCAGGGACAGAGGCTTTAGGAGAAACCAACCCTGCTGGCACCTCGATCTCAGACGCCCAGATTCCAGAACTGTTAGAAAATAAATTTCTCTTGTTGAAACCACCCAGTCCGTGGTATTTTGCAATGACAGCCCTGGCAGAATAATATGGTCCTTCAGAGGCACCTATTCTTTCTGCCTTTAATTTGCTTTGGCCTTGTTTTATGTGTGGCCTTGTTTTATTCGCTTGTAATGACTTGAGGGCGACATCCAGGGAGGCATATCTTTTCCTGTGTCCCCGTGGGGTGCGGTTCAATGCCGGGCACAATGTGCACAGAATCAGATCTTTGTCCTCACTGTCAGCTTTGCCCACCTGCTGACAAGGGTCGGCGGTGGGGGTGGGGGTGGGGGGACCTCAGCTGCTCTCTACCAGGGTGCTTTTCAAAATTCAAGTCACCGAAACAATTTAGGGAGCCACATGAGTACTTTTCAGAAGTAATAAGACAGAATAGCAGATGATAGAAAATGCCAAGGTGTTTTTCAGGCAGTAAAGGTGTTAGTTCATGCAACTCTGTTTGATTTTACATATTTATAAATAGACAAATACTTACAAATTATTCTAAGATCTATGATTACGTTTGTGTGTCTGGTTACTGCATTGTGCTATTAAATACATTTCTTTAAAAAAAAAATACAGACAGGGTCTCGCTATGTTGCTCAGGCTGGTCTCGAACTCCTGGGTTCCAGTGATCCTCCTGCCTCAGCCTCCCAAAGTGCTGGGATTACAGGGGGAGCTACTCTACCTGGCCTAAATGCATTTCTTACTGTGAGTTTCAGTCCCAAAATTTTGAAAACACTGACCTACCAGTGTTTTCCAATTTCCTTTCAAGTGAGTTTGTGGTTAAAAAACTGGTCAACTCTTGGGGAGGCTTGGAGTCTATGGGGGTGAGGGCTGGTCCCCCAGGGTGAGGACCTGAAATGGACCTAAGTCACTCTGTCCAGGCAAAGAGCCATGGAGCCCTGTCTTTGGGTTCTTTCCTCTCTGTGTCCTGGGGCAAGTGACATGACTTCTCTGTGCTTCAATGTCCCTACCTGTAGAAGGGATTAAAACAAATCTATCATAGGGGTGCTGTGAGGATTACCAGGAGCTGAGGAACTTGAAGGCCCTTGCTAATGTCAGAGGTGGTTTGTTATTTCACTGTTTCATGCAAGTCTGTCTGCTCTAGGAGAGGGATTGTTTTCTTGCTCTTCCATCTCAGGAGAAAGGAACACACATGTCCCTCACCCCTTGGAATCCCTGGCTGGGGGTAGGCCAGGGGCTCAAGAGTACTCAGAAAAGTATTTCAAAAGCTCAATTGCAAGGTGAGACTCTCCTAAGGGTTTAATGCAGGTAAAATCAAGCTCTGGAAAACTTTTAAAGCAGCTTCCAAAGGGGAGTCAAAGTCCTAAGAGGCCAGAAGGAGTCGTCCACCAGCCTCTGTCTAGGTAACAGGAGATCCGGGCTGGCTGCCACCCCTTCCTACCGTGTTCCCAGGAACATTGAGCCCTGAGTCACTACTAGAAGCCACCATGGGCCCACGGAGAGCACAGAGCTGAGACAGCTGCCCCTCAAGGTGGTCCTTGGGCTTGGTTGCCCAGCAACCCCAGCCCTCAGCAGGATGCTTCTCTCCACACGGTGCCTCCCTTCTCAGGGCTGACATCACTCAGAAACCCATGCTGGCAAACCTGCTTCCAAGCAGGGAACTTGGACATGAGTGGAATATCAGGAATTCCTGGAGGATTTACAGTCCAGCAACTGGAGCACCCACAACCCCAGCTCTGAACATGCCTCCTGCTCTGGCACAGTTCTCTCCTCTCTGGTCTAGGTCACCATCCCCACCCCCATCCCCTTGTTCAGAGCAGAAAGGACTGGGTATAGAGCCAGGAGCCCTGTTTCCAGAAATGCTCGGCCTCTTACCCTCTGTGTGACCTCAGGCAGCCCACTTCACCTCTCTGGGACTCAGTTTCATCATCTGTAAAACAGGAGTAGATTTGATTGGTCCTTGATTTTTTTTTTTTTTGTAAGAGTTAGATATTTTACTATTCTTTCTAAAATTATAGGAAATGAACCAGAGGAGCTGAAACTACGCTGATTTCCTTCTCCAAATAGAGAAACGGGTACTTGCATTCCTGGGGATGCAGCTGGAGTTTTCAAACTGTCAGATGTTTCCAGGCTTGGAATCTGGTTGGTGGGGCAGGGGATGGGCATTCTTTCCATAGCTTGCATCAGGAGGGTTAGGACTCTGGACTGCAAAGGGCCTAGTTTGCAGTGGGCAGGCGAGAATGGTTGTTGCCCACACAGCAGCTGCATTCCCATGCTAGAGTTGGGAAAAGGGGAACTTCTCTTGGGCAGGTCTCACTAGCATCCTCCCTTCTTCACCTGTGTCTCAGCTCAGAGGTCCTCTTCCTTATTTGGTGGAGATGCCCATTGTCCAGGGCTAATCAGAGGACCTCCCAAACTCCACTCACTCAGATCTGCCTCCAGATCATTCCTGACTTTCACACCTCCTCACCAATCAAACTGATTTTTAATTAAGTTATTTATTTTAAATTTTTTTTTTTTTGAGAGGGAGTCTCGCTCTGTCGTCCAGGCTGGAGTGCAATGGTGTGATCTCGGCTCACTGCAACCTCTGTCTCCCGGATTCAAGCAGTTCTCCCACCTGAGCCTCCAGAGTAGCTGGAATTACAGGCACCCACCATCATGCCCAGCTAGTTTTTGTATTTTGTAGAGACGGGTTTTACCATGTTGGTCAGGCTGGTCTTGAACTCCTGACCCACCTTGGCCTCCTAAAGTGCTGGGATTGCAGGCCTAAGCCACCATGCTCAGACTCAAACTGATCATTGTGAGTGAGAAAGCCAACAGACATTTAGCTCCTCTGACTCAGAATTTCACAGGTTGAAACTGATCCTCAAGAAAAGTTGCCGGGCGCAGTGGCTCACGCCTGTAATCCTAGCACTTTGGGAGGGTGAGGTGGGTGGATCACCTGAGGTCAGGAGTTCAAGACCAGCCTGGCCATCATGGTGAAACCCCATCTTTAAAAATAAATAAATAAATAAATAAAAATAAAAAAATAAAAGTTGCTCACGAGTAGCTGGGACTTGTGGGAGGCCGAGCTGGGAGGATCACTTGAGCCCAGGAGTTTGAGATCAGCCTAGCCAGCATGAGATCTCATCTCTACAAAATATACAAAAATTAGCCGGGCATGGCGATATGTGCCTGTAGTCCCAGCTACTCAGGAAGCTGAGGTGGGAGGATCACTTGAGCCCGGGAGGTTGGGCTGCAGTGAGCTGTGATTGCATCACCGGACTCCAACCTGCGCGACAGAGTGGGAGACTCTTGGTGGATGCTCCAGTCTGCTGCCTTTCCCTCTTTCCTCCACACCAATTCAAGGATTTAACCTTTCACCCATTTAGTGTGTACTGGGCACCTGACCCATAACTACTTCGCTGGGTGCTGGGATGAGGAGGTCAGTTCCTCTGTGGGCATTTAAGGCCTGATGGGCAGCAGTAGGAACTTTTCATCCCTTCCTTCTCCCTTCCCTACCAGCGGCTTCCAGACCCACTTCCAAGGACAGCACCTGTGTCTTGTGCATCTTTGTTTCTCAGGACCCAGCAAGTCTTTGTTACCTAAGAGTGACATATTGCAGATTACATTTGAGTGGACAAACGGAGGAAGTGGTTTATGCCTGAAGCTAAGTCCTAACTTTGTTATTTGTGGATGGCAAAAGGTGGAGAAGGTACTTAAGGTTAGATGCTGGGTTAAAGAGTATGTGCTGCTGTCTGACAGAGGACAATTTGGCCATGTCTGTCAAAATGATAAATGCATGCACTTTCTGACCCAGCAATTCCACTTCAAGGAATTGATTTGACAGATGGCTGCTCACACATGTGAAATGATACACATGCAATGGTAGTCACTACAGTATTGTTTGCATCGGATTAGAAACAATGTAGCCTGAGCAACATAAACCCCGTCTCCAAAAAAAATGTGTAAAAATTAGCTGGGTGTAGCGGTGTACTACCCAGCTACTGGTCCAAGCTACTCAGGAGGCTAAGGTGTGAGGACTGCTTGAAACCAGGAGTTGGAGGCTGCAGTGAACGATGATTGTGTCACTGTACTTGAGCCTGGGTGACAGAACGAGACCCTGTTTCCTAAAAAAAATTGGAAATACCTTAAATATTTGTCTGTGGGGCCTATTTTAATAAATTAAGGTATACCTAAAAAAAAAAAAAATAAGAAAGCTGTCTTGAATATGTCTTGAATATAAATAGGAAGACATTCAAGAGCCGAGATCGCGCTATTGCACTCCAGCCTGGGTAACAAGAGCGAAACTCCGTCTCAAAAAAAAAAAAAAAAAAGATTCTTTTGAGTTTAAGCGTTTAAAAGTGCCGGACACTGTGACTCATGCCTGTAATCCCAGCACTTTGAGAGGCTGACAAGGGCAGATCACGAGGTCAGGAGTTCAAGATCATCCTGGCCAACATAGTGAAATCCCATCTGTACTAAAAATACAAAAAATTAGCTGGGTGTGGTGGCAGATGCCTGTAATCCTAGCTACTCAGGAGGCTGAGGCAGCAGAATCACTTGAATCCAGGAGGCAGAGGTTGCAGTGAGCCAAGATAACACCATTGTACTCCAGCTGGGGGCAACAGTGTGAGACTCTGTCTCAAAAAAAAAAAAAGAAGAGTTTAAAAGGAAGGTAAAGCCAGGCACAGTGGCCTGCACCTGTAGTCCCAGCTACCTGGAAGGCTGAGGTGGGAAGATTGCTTGAGCCCAGGAGTTTGAAACTAGCCTGGGCAACATAGTGAGACCCCAGCTCAAACAAATTTTAAAAAGGAGAAGGTGAGGACAGTGTATACAGCTGATTATTCTTTGTGTAAAAAATGGGGAGATGGGCTGGGTGAGGTGGCTCACGCCTATAATCCTAGCACTTTGGGAGGCCAAGGCAGGCAGATCACAAGGTCAGGATTTCTTTTTCCTTTTCTTTTTTTTTAAAAAGAAAGAAAAAAAAATAAAAAAAAGAGTGAAAGAGAGAAAGTAAGAGGAAGAGAAAGAGGGAAAGAGAACGGGAAACTTGCTCTATTGCCCAGGCTAGAATGCGGTCTAAAAATGGGTATTGAAAACCTATTTTATGCCAATAATTGTGCTTAACAATGGAGACAGGAAGGAATAAGGGAGGAAAATAACAAGCAGCCAACCAATATTTCATTTAAACCTGTGAAATGCTATGCATTTACTGAGGAGTGATTTACTTCCAATTATGTGGTCACTTTTAGAGTAGGTGTGATATGGTACTGATAAGAATGTATGTTTTGTGTATATGGGGTGGAGAGTTCTAGAAATGTTTATTAAATTTACTTGTTCCAAGTCTGAGTTCAAGTCCTGGATATTTTTGTTAATTTTCTGTCTTACTGATCTGTCTAATATTGACAATGTAATGTTAAAGTCTCCCACTATTATTGTGTGGGAGTCTAAGTCTCTTTATAAGTCATTAAGAACTTGCCTTATGTATCTGGGTGCTCCTGTATTGGGTGCGTATATATTTAGGATCGTTAGCTCTTCTTGCTGCATTGATTCTTTTACCATTATGTAATGTCTTTCTTTGCCTCTTTTGATCTTTGTTGCTTTAAAGTCTATTTTATCAGAGGCGAGAATTGCAACTCCTGCTTTTTATTTATTTATTTATTTTTGCTCTCCGTTTGGTTGGTAAATCTTCCTCCATCCCTTTGTTTTGAGTCTTTGTGTATCCTTGTATGTGAGATGGGTCTGGATGCAGCATACTGATGGGTTTTGGCTTTTTATCCAATTTGCCTGTCTGTGTCTTTTGATTGAGGGATTTAGTCAATTTAAATTTAGGATTAATAATAATATATGTGAGTTTAATACTGCCATTTGATGTTAGCTGGCTGTTTTGCCCATTAGTTGATGTAAATTCTTCATTATGTTGATGCTCTTTACTTTTTGGTATATTTTTAGAAAGGCTGATACTGGTTGTTCCTTTCTATATGTAGTGCTTCTTTTAGAAGCTCTCGTAAAGCAGGACTGGTGGTGATGAAATCTCTAAGTACTTGCTTGTTCACAAAAGATTTTATTTTTCCTTTGCTTGTGAAGCTTAGTTTGTCTGGATATGAAATTCTGGGTTGAAAGTTCTTTTCTTTAAGGATGTCGAATATTGACCCCCACTCTCTTCTGGCTTGTAGGGTTTCTGCTGAGAGATCTGCTGTGAGTCTGATAGGCTTCCCTTTGTGGGTAACCTGACCTTTCTCTCTGTCTACCCTTAGCATTTTCTCTTTCATTTCAACTCTGGTGAATCTGACGATTATGTGCCTTGGGGTTGCTCTTCTTGAGGAATATCTTTGTGGTGTTCTCTGTATTACCTGGAGTTGAATATTGTCCTGCCTTGGTAGGTTGGGAAAGTTTTCCTGAATAATATCCTGCAGAGTATTTTCCAGCTTGGATTCATTCTCTTCGTCACATTCAGGTATACCTATCAAATGTAGATTAGGTCTTTTCACATAGTCCCATATTTCTTGGAGACTTTGCTCATTCCTTTTTATCCTTTTTTCTTTAATCTCATCTTCTCATTTTATTTCATTGAGTTGGTCTTCAACCTCTGATATCCTTTCTTCTGCTTGATCAATTCAACTGTTAAAACTTGTGCATACTTCGCGAAATTCTCGTGTTGTTTTTCAGCTCCATTAATTTGCTTATATTCCTCTCTAAATTGTCTATTCTCGTTAGCATTTTGTCAAACCTTTTTTCAAGGTTCTTAGTTTATTTGCATTGGGTTAGAACATGTTCTTTTAGCTCATAGAAGTTTCTTATTATCCACCTTCTGAAGCCTGATTCTGACAATTCATCACACTCATTCTCCATCAGGCCTTGCTCCCTTGCTGATGAGGAGCTATGATCCCCTGAAGGAGGAGAAGCATTCTGACTTTGAATGTTTTCAGCCTTTTTGAGCTGGTTTCT